TTTGGTCCCGCGTGAGAGCAGGCGTCACGTCCACATGGACTAAGGAGCTCTCTGACTTTTGGGACACTGCAGTGGCGGGCAGTAGCTCGCTTCGAGCAGGTCTCTTGCGAGCGCTGCTCGATGAATCCGCAGTGGCGCTTGGCATCTCGGCGGCGACCCTACTCCTGGACTTCGAGAAGTTCTACGACTCGTTGTCCTGGATCCTCATCGGCCAGGCTGCACTCGATCTCAAGTTCCCAGCTATTGTGGTGCTACTGGAGCTGGAGATGTGTGCTGGGCCGCGGTTCTTGCGTGGCTCTCTTGGCGTTACAGACGCCATCTACGCCACCAGGTCACTCGTTGCAGGATCCCCGCATGGGGTAAGGATTGCCAAGTTGTTTTTACATCCATTGATGGAGGCGGCACATCGCAGAGCGAGTTTCAGCACCTTCTGGACATTCATCGACGACGCGGTTGCCCGCGCAGAGGGCACGCAGGCCAAGGTCCAAACAGAGGTCCTTCACGCCACGGTCACTCTTGCCGACCTCGCCAAGCAATTCCGTCTTAAGCTTTCGGACAAGTCTGCACTCATTGCCACCGTTCCGCAGGACGGGAGGAGGACAGCCGCTCAATTGCACAAGCGAGGTATCCCTGTACGGTTCGGCCTTCACGGCACGGATCTTGGCATTGATGCGGCTTCTGGCAAACGGCGCACAGTCACTAAGGCCAGAATGAGGTTGACCGCCGGCAAGAGGAGGGCGGCTCGCATTGCCCGCATACGCAGACATGCTCCTCTACGGCGCGAAGCTCAAGGTCTTTGGACCACAGGCGCGGCTCCTCAAGGCTCCTACGGACACCAAGCCCATGGCATGTCGCCGTCCAACGTCCTCGCCGTCAGGCGGCAGGCAGCCGTGGCGGGAGCTGGGCCCATGAAGGGCAGGTGTCTTACGACAACACGGGCGGTCCTTTACGGTCTCAAGGATCCAGCCCTGGAGTTACGTCGAGGCCTTCTTTCAGAATTTCTCTGTCTCTGGAAGACCGACACCAGCATTCACCATCGAGTTGAAAATGCTTGGACTGTCATTCATCGGCGGCTTCTCGCAGTTGGCGCCAGCAAGAGATGGAGACTGGTCAAAGGACCTATTGGAGCTGTTATTGCGACCTTGCTTGACGCGGGATGGGAAGTACCCTCGGTTCTCCGTTGGAGGAGACCCACTGTCGGAGGAATCGAGGAGTGGCTGATTCCAACCGCACGACGTGCAGGCTACGACCCCACTGGGTTCGACATCTCCGAGCTACTGGACGACGTGGTCACTGATTTTCGCGCTCAACTTTGGAGCAATGCTTCGAAGCACGTTGCAGGGGATGGCCTGGCTGAGGGAGCTGACCTCTATTGGGCCAGGCTGGAGCTCAGCCACTTCGCCAAGAGGGGGGAGCTCGACCTGTTCGGCCTCAATTTGTGCGTGGTCACGGGCGCCCAGTGGACGATGGACAGGCAGCACCCTCTGAGCGAGCCCGCTGACCGCCTGTGTCCGCGATGCCAGCAGGAGGAAGAAACTCTTGCGCATCGCAGTTGGCGTTGCCCCTGCAATAAAGATCACAGTGATTTTACGTCTACTGATCATTTGATTCCGCAAGCGTTAGCGTCTGTTGAATCTGAACCAAGCCTTTGGCTGAGAGGTGTTCCGCCTACCCGTGTCACCCACCCTGTTTTCAGGGAGCCGTTGGAGAGCCTGAGCAGAGCCCAACTAGGTGAGGTCCCTCTTGGAGCCTGCTCTAGAGACCCTGGCAGCAGCCCGTTGATCGGCTTCGGGGACGGATCTGGAGGACGCTTTTCGTCCGACCCTCGTCGCCGTCGGTGTGGCTCCGCTGTTGTTGTGGTCAGGGACGCGCGACCTGGGGAGGGACCTTTGCGTTGGGCCGTCTTGGGGGGCATCTCCGAGATTTTGCGAGGCCCCTCGCAAACGGTGCCCAGGTCGGAGCTGCAGGCTTTCGCACTCTTTCTGGAAAGCACCACAGGTCCAGTCCATTTTGTGACTGACCACAAGCCTCTCATGACGGGGTGGAGTCGGGGCCGACCTTGGAGTTTGGGGGGAGGAACAGCGATTTGTGGCTGCGAATTCGTTGTGCCATCGACGACCGAGGCCCAGGGCATGTCTCGGTCGAATGGACGCCCTCGCACCTGTCCCCTGACGACTCCTCCCTCTCCCATCACGAAGTTTTTCTTGCCAGCGGTAATCAGTTAACCGATGAAGCGGCTTCTGAAGCCGCTGAGCGCTCCTGGACCTTGGCCGCCCAGACAGTCCCCGCCACAGACGCCTGGGACCTCACTGCTGCCCTGGTGCGTCGAAGGGCTCGGCGGGCTCTGGCGGACGCCTCTTCGGCGGATCCCAAGCGGTCCAAGGCTCCGACGGAGGTCGAGCGGCCTAGGCCGAAGACAGCCGAGACCCGACGCCTCGAGCACGCTGCCAGGGCCAGCTCTCACAGGTTTAGTCCAGTCGGGTCCCGTTTCAGGTGCCAACTGTGCTCTGTTCTTTCGTCCCGACAGGGCCTCTTAGAGGCCCTGAAGACGGAGTGCTTTTCGCCGCTGGTCGTCCCTCCTGGATTTCCTCGGGACGTGGTGGCCGCGGCTCGTGGTGGCGTCTCTGTTGGTGGGCTGGAGCTCGACCCCTCCCACCGTCTGGGATTCTGGGACCTGCATTCTTTGCATGTTTGTTTTAGATGTGGTCGGACCGCGACCGTTGACGGTCGCCATTTGGCCGAAGGTTGCGGGCCCCCCACTCGCAAAGGCCGTGAGAATCTCGGCCGAATTAAACGCGGGCTGTTTCCGAGCTATGCGGGGCCTTCTAAGGCCTCGCAAGCGATTTCGCATGCGAGGTTAGTGGACGCGTGCGTCGCCGGGGAGACAGCACAGCGTGCCAGGAGGGCAAGCCCTGTACCCTCCCACGCGCCCTCTTCCCCTTGCGGGGAGGAGGAGGCGCTGGGGGTGGCTGCTACGGAGTAGCCACCTTGGGTGCAGGTGCTTGGCCTCCTCCCTCTGTTTTCCCCTCCTCCTTTTTAGCACGCTGTGCTGCGCAAAAGGTCCAAAAAGGTCCTCCTCCTCCTCCTCCTCCTCCTCCTCCTCCTCCTCCTCCTCCTCCTCCTCCTCCTCCTCCGCCTCCTCCGGCCCCTCCTCCTCCTCCTCCTCCTCCTCCTCCTCCTCCTCCTCCTCCTCCTCCTCCTCCTCCTCCTCCTCCCTCCTCCCCCTCCCCCTCTCCGCCTCCTCCCCCTCCTTCCGCCCCCAATCGTGCCCCCACCCCCCCCCACCAAAGGGTGCCACCGTTTGGTTCGGCGCCCTCGGCCTCAGGGGCAGCAGGGGAGCAACAACAGTGAGTAAGCATGCGCCGTTGAAGGTCCCCGCGGATGTTGGTGCTCGTCGGCGCTGGGCCCCGGCTCCGCGCCAGGGGAGGCGCCAGAGGCGCCGGCAGTGGGGCTCCAGCTCAGACCTAAGCAATCCGCTGGAAGCTCCGAGCACCTGCGTTCGGGCCATGGTCTCGGGGGCTGTCACAAGGTGCCCCTGGCCCAAGGTGCCCCCAGCTTTTCGCTCCATGTTGGAGCCCCTGCCCCCAGCCCTATCATCTGAGCAGGGACCGACCGTCCCAGCAGCCCTATGGGGCTACCACGACATGTTGTTCCAATAACCAAAACACTGGTCTTAGAACATAAACCCGATGTGCTCAAAGAAAAAACAGCCTCGGCCAGAAATGTTCTACAGAACATCTCGTGCAGACCACCAAGAGGTCCTTAGAACATTCTTTGGTGGGCCTATAGGCGAGCCGGGACGCTTCGCCACTGCTGTGCTTGAAGCATTAACGAACCTGTGCGATGATTGCTTCTTCGGGGCCCGCCGGCGCAGCGCGACAGCACGGGCCTGCGGCGGCGACCAAGCCCTCGCATAGGCCTCACTTGCTCCAAATACGGGGCGCGTGAAGCTCTGGAGCGCTTCCCGTGGACTGCCTCTTCGTCGGGGATCGTTTTCTGGACGGTCCTGGGGCTGGGTCAGGTGGCGGTTTTCTATATTCGGTGTTTCGACATTGGGCAGAAAGGGGGGGGGAGGGGGGGTTCTGGCTCCGGACTTCTGCTTAGTGCGACTGTTTGCAAGAGTGACTCCACCCGCTCGAAACAGGCACCAAAAAGCAGCCAAGATCTACTCCAGAGGGGGCGGGAGGGGGGCTTGGGGGCCCGCGCCGACCAGCAAAACCATGAATCAAAACACGGTCACCAGGGCCCCCAGAGGCCAAGAATGCGAGACTCGGCGACTCCGAAGGGCGCGGTCTGCAGCGTGTGGTCTGCAACCCGCCCCCATGGGGGGCGGCCGAGGCCCTCGGCGGAGATCTCCGCGGCGCCCCGGCGAGGCCTCGTCAGACCTCTGGGCGCAACGTGGGGGCCCCCTATTAGAAGCCCCGACGGCGTCGAGCGCACGCCACACCCCGGCGCGCCCACACGCCCTACTGGAGTCGCCGAGTGGGCCTCCCGAGGCCCCAAACCGCGAGAGGAGAGACCCTCTGCCGTGTGCCGTCTGTCGCGGCGCGATGGCCGTGGGAGGCCGTGGGGGCCCCCCCCACACCGGCGGCGCTATGGTCTTTTGCGAGGATGGGGCGCACAGAGACGTACGAATGCTAGATGTGCTCCCTGGAGGCCCGCGTCCGATCCGAACATACAGTACACCCAGCTTGTAGTATATCGTTCCTGGAGCGGTGCGGCCAGAAAGCGCCCGCCACGACGCATACACTATAGGATTTCTCGATGCGCGCGTCGCCCCTGGAGGGCGACGCACATAAAAGTATACGTATGTTGGTTGGGGTGATGCCGATTAGGTTTTCGACCCCAAAGGGTCTCGACCCACTCCCTGGGACCAGTCCTTCAGCCTGACACGCTTCTCGACGGGGCCGGCGCCCAGCAAGGGCCCACCGAGGCGGACCATAGCGGAAACGCTCCCGCCGTGATTGCTCCCTGCCTCGAGGGGGGTCCGAGGCGCGCGCCACTTCACGTGCTCCAGCGGCCCGGTCTGGTCCACGCTGACGTCCACGGCCACCGCTGCGCCCGGAGGGCCCCAGAGCACGCGGAGGATGGGCACCTCGGCGCCGGCCGTGGCGGCCGGTGCCGCGACCCGCTCGTTCGAGCCGCGAAACCTCGGAGGAGGCAGCGGCACCCGAGCCACGTCGACGAGCTCCGTGCTTTCAATCCACCCTCGCGGTGTTAGAAGATGTGCTAAGATAGTGGACTTCATCCAAAGCGTTTTCTTAGACAGTAGGCTGGGTCCAGGTATACGAACCAATTACGAAAACTTCCACTCTAGGACAACGCCGAAGGTCCAGTCCAGATTCTTAATTACTTTTCTTCAACGAAATCTTGAGTCCATGAACGAATCTTGTTTACTTGATATTGTTTGATGGGTGTAAGCACGCCCTGGAACTCTCGACCACTTCCCGGGAAAACATATGGTCCCCGACCGGATTGCCGATGGTCCTCCTGGGACTCCAAGACGGGGCCAAGACGCGGACAATGGCCAAATGCCTCCGTTGTGATGTCGCCTAGACGTCAGAGGTTCGGGGAGGCAGCGGAGGTGGAAAGTCTAATTACCCAAAACATCCAGTACATACTTCTTTTCCTAATTTCTACAAGCCGGGGGAAGAGAAAAAATACAGGACCCCCCTGGATCTGGGGCTTTGGGCCCCCCCCGGACGCTTTTCGGAGAGGTCCACCAGCCCTGCCGCGCCTCCCAAGGAGCCTTGCCAGGCCTTGCCTAGCAGACCCAGAGCAGGCCCACGAGGCCCACAGAACGGCCCGAAAGGCCCCGCGACGCCTCAAGAGGCCTTCTGCAGAGCCCCCAAGAAGCAAACTTCTTCACATCCCCTGCGGGAGTCGTCCTTGTTCACCACATTCGCTTTTCGTGTCGTAGCGGCGTCCACGACAGCCCAGGAGGCCTCCGAGGTCGCTCCAAGACGGCCCAAAAGAGGGTTTCAAAACAGCCCAACGAGGGCCCCAAAACTGCCCCAAGACGGCACACAAGAAGCTCACGAGGCCCCCAAAGGCTCCCAAGAGAGACCCGCGAAGGCAATGGGAGATCCTCAGGAGGGCCCAAGAAAGGCCCAAAAAGCCACGTAGAGGCCCCAAATTCTCCAAGAAGGCCCCAACACGGCCCAAGAGAGATCCAGCCCGGTCCAAACGGGTTCTAAAACCCGAAAACGGCCCAGAGACGCGACCCGGAGGCCTCCAGAGGTCCCCCAAGCCCTTGGGAGGCATCCGTGAAGACCCCAAGAGGTTCTCCAACGAGGAGCCTCCGCAAAAAACCTGCGGCTAACGGGGAATGGTTCGCAACGCCAGGCGGGAGCGAGGATGACTGAGACAAACGACGTGGAATGACAGGGCGTTGCTGTCCATGGCCTTGCAACTCGCGACCGGGCAACTTGGGCCACGAGGGAACCCGTGTAACGGCCACGAAGGAGCCCGCAAGTCATTCCTGCATGCACAGCTGAAGCCGCCGAACTTGCACCGCTGGAGTTCAGCACCTCACTCTTCGGGGTCTACGATGGCTCCTTCACTTCTTGGCCGTATGCCGGTGCGAACCGTTGGAAGCCGCCAGGACTCTTGGAGCTTCTCCAATATGCGGAGGTGTTTGATCTCGACGTCGGCCTCCAGGAACTGCTGCAACCCGGAGGGTCTGAAAAACATATCCAGGAGTAAGAAAAACGACCCCAAAGACACAACTGTTCCTCCATAGCGGTTGGTTTACGGTCGACGCGGCGGCGACACCGGCGCGGGCGTTCGGAATGAACGCGGCCAGTGGTCAGGAATCGGCCGGTATCGAAAATGAATGCACGATCTTTTACGGCTGAGCGATCCAAGCTGTGCCAAAAACCGACGCGCAGACCGCTACGACACGCGCGGGCGCAGGATCCAGCGAAGAAGGCACGCGATTTGGGTTCAACGTTTCTTCGAAGCCTCCAGGTGGCGTTTTCGTCGCAACGTCATCGGGTCCGCCTCGGAATTCGCATCCAAACGCTCCCCAAGCAAAATTTGGCTGGCGCGCGAACGTGTAAATCGAGGACGAGGACGAGAACAAATAAGGAACGGGCAGGGGGACTTGAAAGGAAACGGCCAAACTTCACAGGCCAGAGAGGATGACGCTAAATGCCACCATTGCGAAGCTTGAGGGACCAAGGTGCGTGGCGCGAAACGCCAACGCATTCTTATCTACATGCGCGTAACTTTGTACACATAGACAGATGTTCATCTGTTTATACTGCTCTTCATGCGTGTATACAAAAGCACACACACATAAACGTATGTATGTGTTTACGTGGTTGCGTACATATGTGCGTAGACATTCGTAAGTGTAAACATGTGTATACATGTGCACGTGTGTGCATCTAGCTATAAAGCTATACATGCACTGTAAGATGCATGACAGAGGAAGCCTGGGCAACGTCCGCTTACCCGCTGCCGTGCCTCTGGGCACGGAGTGGGCGTGTCCTCGGGTCCTTCGCCGGATCGTCTAAGCTCCCATCCGCACCCCTGAGGAGTCTTTGCGGAGCTGATAAGGCCCAGTAGGACGACTGGCGCGCTGATCCCCCCCCATCGCGACAAGGGGTGCGTCGCGCATTCGTCGCCCGTGCACCGCCCGTGCGTCGGCCGCCGAGAAGGCCAGCCGTTCTCTCGAACGTGCACGTCACTCTCGCGAGGCGGACTGGGCCTTCGCATGCGGAGCCCGGGACCCCTCGCTCCCATTTCCCCGGGGCTTGGCGCGTGCCCCCGGGGGCTCCCCGCGTGCCCTCCTGGGCTCTGGGAAGTGGTGGCGCGTAGCTTGCTCGGGCCCAAGAGGGCCCCGCGATGGGCCAAGAGGGCCCCAAGGGGCCCCGAAGGCGGCCCATGAGGGCTCCGAGTCGCCGAAAAATCGGCCCAGGGCGCCCAAGGTGGCTTCAGGACGGCCCAAGCCTCCAAGATACCCCAGGAGGCCTCCACGAGGCCTCCCAAGAGGGGACCCAGAGGCACAAATCATTGCTTCTCTTTTGGTTTTTGGCGTATGTTGGCGTTCTCGCCATTTCGGCTTCCCGAAGCTCCCAGACGGTCCTAGAGGCTCCCAAGACCACCCTGAGACTGCCCAGGAGGCCCCCAAAACGAACCAAGAGGGCCCAAAGACGGCCCACGAGGCGCCCCAAACGGCCCAAGGGGGCCCGAAGTCGGCCCCCAAAGGGGCCCCAAAGAGGGAAAACGAACAGCAAATCCGAGCCTTCCGCCCCAAGAGTCCCTCAGGGAAGACGCGCCCAGGAGGCCCCACGGGGTCTTTAAGGGGCCCCCAAGAGGTCCCTAGAGGCCCCCACGAGGCCCAAAAGAGGTCCCGACAGGCACCAAAAAGGCTCCCAAGAGGTGTCCAAACTGCCTCCAAGAGGCAGCCGAGAGGCCTCCCACAAGATCCCAACGAACATCGGATGGGGCTTCATACCCGAAACCCAGGCACGGTGGCGGGCTGGGCCGAAGGCCATTCGATCCGCCGCCCCCTGTCGATTCATCGTAGGGGTGCCTTGCGTGCTAAACTATTTCGGTTTTGGTTTTGATTCTTTTTCCAGAAGACCTCCCCCTGGGGCTTCGGCCCGTCCCGCCGGCCACCCGGAGGACCCGGTTGCAAACAGTTTTCCTGCCCTAGACGGCCACAAGATGGCCCAAGATGGCTTCCAAGATGGCTAAGATGGCCCCAAGATGCACCCAAGACGGCCTAAGATAGCCTCAAGATGACCTAAGACGGCCCAAGAGGCCCCCAAGAGGCCTCCCAGACGCTCCAAGAGCTCCTCCAGAAGGGCCCGAAGGCCAAAATCTTTGATTCCCTCAGGTTTTTGAAGGATTTGGGCATTTGCCTCTTCTCGGCATCCCGACGGCTCAAGACGACCCAAGAGGCCGCCAAGATCGCCCCAAGATCGCCCGAGAGGCCTCCAAGAGGGCCCCATGACGGCCCAAGAGGCCTCCAAGACGGCCACAAGAGGGCCCCAAGACGGCCCAAGAGACCTCCAAGACGCCCAAGATGGCCTCCAAGACGACCCCGAAGCGCCCCAAGAGGACCCCAAGTCGGTTCAGAGAGGCCCCCAAGACGGCTCCCGACGGCGTCAGACGGGCCAGGAACCCAGCAAGATGGCCGAAGTTGGCTCGAAGCTGGCCCAAGACGGCCCAAGAGGCCTCCAAGAGGGCCTGCAGGAAGGCCAGAAAAGGCCCAAAACACTGATTTCCCATAGGTCTTTGAAGGATTTTGACATCTGCTTCTTTTCGGCCTTCCGACGGCCCGAGACGGCTCAAGAGGCCCCAAAGATCGCCCAAAGATCACCCAAAAGGCCTCCAAGACGGCCCCGGAACAGCCCGAGAGGCCCCCAAGACGGCCCCAAGAGGCCCCCAAGACGGCCCAGGAGGCCTTTAAGACGCCCAAGATGGCCTCCAAGACGGCCCCGGAGCATTCCAAGAGGGCCAAACGGCTCCCGACGGCGTCAGACGGGCCAGGAGCCCACTAAGACGGCCGAAGATGGCCCTAAGATGGCCCAAGACGGCCCAAGAGGCCCCCAAGAGGGCCTGCAGGAAGGCCCGAAAAGACCCAAATCATTGATTTCCCATGAATGTTTGAAGGATTGTGGCATTTGTTTTTTTTCGGCCTTCCGACGGCCCGAGACGGCCCAAGTGCCCCCGAAGATCGCCCAAGAGGCCCAAGACGGCCTCAAGAGGCCCCCAAGACGGCCCAAGAGGCCTCCAAGAGGGCCTGCAGGAAGGCCCGAAAAGACCCAAATCATTGATTTCCCATGAATGTTTGAAGGATTGTGGCATTTGTTTTTGTTTCGGCCTTCCGACGGCCCGAGACGGCCCAAGTGCCCCCGAAGATCGCCCAAGAGGCCCAAGACGGCCTCAAGAGGCCCCCAAGACGGCCCAAGAGGCCTCCAAGACGCTCAAGATGGCCTCCAAGACGGCCCAAGAGCCCTCCAAGACGTCCTCCGAGAAGGCCCGAAAGGGCTAAAATGGCCTCCAGACGGCACAGATGACCTTCAAGATGCCCACGTGTTCCCCGAAGGCTTTCCAAACCGATTCGGGGAAGACATGGTCCGATAGCTTGGCAGGTCTGGCCTCAACGTTCGGCCACATAGGCGCTTCCAAAAAGGCAGGGAGCGGCGGTGATTCGCCGTAGGCATCTTCGATGAAGATCGGTTCTCGAGTAACTCCCAGGGTCCACCATGGCACTTGTTCTACGGGTTGCGCCAAGCCGTGGCGGTGAGAACCGCCAGGCCAACGTACAGAGCTCTCCGAAACGAAGACGTCAACGTCATCGTCGCCATCATCCCTGACGCGAGGCGGGGACTTATCCGAATCCATCGCCTGGGGAACCGACGTGCTCAAACCCCAGGGGGCGGTGGATATGGCTACAGCTTGGCCCCGAGGAGTCCGCACATGTCGGTACCCACCGCCCGCGGGGGTACCCGAAGACTGAGCCCCCGGGCGGTGGTTGTGGATACGCCCCCGCCGCAGACTCGAGGCTCGACCCTCGGAGGAGGCAGCGGCACACGAGCCACGTCGATGAGCTCCATGGAGAAGTTGGCGCCGCTGTCGGGGTACTGCTCCTCGAACCCCCCGGGGGGCGGGGGAGACGGCGGCGGGGCTCCCGGGCCCAGCGGCAGGTGCCCATCCGTACTCGCGTCTTCCCGCATCCTCCTCGTCGTCGTCGTCGTCGTCGTCGTCGATATAACCATCATCGTCTGTCGTCGTCGCTGTCGTTGTTCCAGTCGTCGTCCTCGCACTCCTCATTTTCCTGCTCCTCTGCTCCTCCTCCTCCTCCTCCTCCTGATCCGTTGTCGATCCCGGGTCTCCCCCATTTCTTTGATGGATCCTGGGGCCGATGAGAACGCTGCGGAGCTTGTCCCTTTCGGGAAGGTCGGACATGATGCGTTCTGTTTCGGGCCCGCGCACTGCTGCTGGTTCTGCGGGGCTCAAGGCAGCCTAGTCCAGTTTCGCAGTTCGATGCTCAGATGCACGGGGCCGTCCAAAAGTCCCTCCTCCAAGGCCGCGCTAACGGCGATGTTGGTTAAAGGCGATGTTGGGAATCTTCTTTTTGCGACACCGAGCTCACGCAGAACAAAATGTAGAAACGCAGAACAACATGTAGGAAATCACAGAAGCACCGTTCCCTACATGTCAGATGTGCGAACGTGTCGAACGAGAACGACACGGCGCGTGGGTAGGAAAACGCGAACCACGCGCCCCTGCTGTCGGCTTGGCCACACCACGAACCACGCCCTCCTACAAGTGGCTCCCCACGCCGCCCTTAGCGAACGCACCGTTGGCGCGTCACGCTGGGCGCGTCTTGAGCGGGGCAGGCGCACGCAGACGGGCGAGCCCACCCACATTGGAGGAGGGGGCACTCGTTCGGCTGCCCCTGCCCCCGCCCCCTGCTCCCCGCCCCCCGCCCCCGCCCCCTGCCGCACCCTGCCGCGCCCTCCCGCCCTGTCCCGCGCCCGGAGGTCCTCCTCGGAGGCCTGGAGATGACGGGCACCAGCACTAACACGGGGGGAGCCTGCCTCCACCGGGGGGGGAGATGATCTTGAGACTTCGGGGCCGGTGGCAATGCTTAAGACCCGGGAAGCCAGAACACTATCCGGCCGCTCTGCGGTTGATCGGGAGTTTCTGTATACAGAAGAAGGGGCGTGCGCTTCTCGGCGAGAGAAAAATCATCGAGATGAGAATGAGCGTGGGGATCAGGAGGGCGAGGCCCGCGGGGGGGAGGATAAGGAGAGCGAGGGTCACGCGGGCGAGGATCATTGCCTCGCGCGCCGGGGGTCAGGATGAAGTGAGTTCCACATAAACTCCCTCAAATTAGCTGGGGGAAAAATTACCCCGGCAAAGCAACCTATCAGCGATGTGTAGGAGCATATCTGGAAGCATTCCCCTTAAGATTCAGATGAGAATCCTGTTGTAGAATTCTGCTGTTCTCGAAGTCGTAGTCGCATTCGCGATGGCAGTCGCAGTGGCAACGGCAGTCGCAGTCACAGCCTCAGCCTCAGCCTGCCTCAGCCTCAGCCTCAGCCTGCCTCAGCCTCAGCCTGCCTCAGCCTCAGCCTCAGCCTGCTTCAGCCTCAGCCTCAGTCTGCCTTCAGCCTCGGCCTCAGCCTCAGCCTGCCTCAGCCTCAGCCTGCATCAGCCTCAGCCTCAGCCTCAGCCTGCCTCAGCATCAGCCTGCCTCAGCCTCAGCCTCAGCCTGCCTCAGCCTCAGCCTCAGCCTGCTTCAGCCTCAGCCTCAGTCTGCCTTCAGCCTCGGCCTCAGCCTCAGCCTGCCTCAGCCTCAGCCTGCATCAGCCTCAGCCTCAGCCTCAGCCTCAGCCTGCCTCAGCCTCATCAGCCTGCCTCAGCCTCAGCCTCAGCCTGCCTCAGCCTCAGCCTCAGCCTGCTTCAGCCTCAGCCTCAGTCTGCCTCAGCCTCGGCCTCAGCCTCAGCCTGCCTCAGCCTCAGCCCTCAGCCTCAGCCTCAGCCTCAGCCTGCCTCAGCATCAGCCTGCCTCAGCCTCAGCCTCAGCCTGCCTCAGCCTCAGCCTCAGCCTCAGCCTTCAGCCTCAGCCTCAGCCTGCCTGCCTCAGCCTCAGCCTCAGCCTCAGCCTCAGCCTCAGCCTCAGCCTCAGCCTCAGCCTCAGCCTCAGTCTGCCTCAGCCTCAGCCTCAGCTGCTCAGCCTCAGCCTCAGCCTTCAGCCTCAGCCTCAGCCTCAGCCTCAGCCTCAGCCTCAGCCTCAGCCTCAGCCTGCCTCATCAGCCTCAGCTTCAGCCTCAGCCTCAGCCTGCCTCAGCCTCAGCCTCAGCCTCAGCCTGCTTCAGCCTCAGCCTCAGTCTGCCTTCAGCCTCGGCCTCAGCCTCAGCCTGCCTCAGCCTCAGCCTGCATCAGCCTCAGCCTCAGCCTCAGCCTGCCTCAGCCTCAGCCTCAGCCTGCCTCAGCCTCAGCCTCAGCCTCAGCCTGCCTCAGCCTCAGCCTCAGCCTGCTTCAGCCTCAGCCTCAGTCTGCCTTCAGCCTCGGCCTCAGCCTCAGCCTGCCTCAGCCTCAGCCTGCATCAGCCTCAGCCTCAGCCTCAGCCTGCCTCAGCATCAGCCTGCCTCAGCCTCAGCCTCAGCCTGCCTCAGCCTCAGCCTCAGCCTGCTTCAGCCTCAGCCTCAGTCTGCCTTCAGCCTCGGCCTCAGCCTCAGCCTGCCTCAGCCTCAGCCTGCCTCAGCCTCAGCATCAGCCTGCCTCAGCATTCAAAATGTGGCCCGGGAATGGAGTTCTGGGAACTCGAAGAACACGAAGTGGCCTACAGTTGGCTCCGGGCATTCAAAATCATGCCCAGGAATGGAGTTCTGGGAACTCGAAGACCACGAAGTGGCCTACAGTTGGCTCCGGGCATTCAAAATGTGGCCAGGGAGTGGAGTTCTGGGAACTCGAAGAGCACGAAGTGGCCTACAGCTGGCTCCGGGCATTCAAAATGTGGCCCGGGAATGGAGTTCTGGGAACTCGAAGACCACGAAGTGGCCTACAGTTGGCCCCGGGCATTCAGAGTGTGGCCCGGGAATGGAGTTCTGGGACCTCGAAGACCACGAAGTGTGTAACTGTCGGCTAAAAAAAAATCCCCGGCACTCTCCCGGATCGCGCCCAGACCCCCCTGGGGCGTCATGATGCTCTCTTTTGACCCTACTAGAAACCTATCAGTCTTCGCTGTTAGGTAAAAAGTGACATGAACATAAGAACTCGCAGGTCCGCGCAGATTTCTCGGATCGGCGCTGGACCCCCCTCCCTGGCGCGCGGAGCGCGCCAGGGGCGGCGCCGGAGGCGCCGCCTGGGGGCCCCAGTGCCGATCCGAGAAACCCGCGCGGACCTCCGCGTTTTTATGTTTATGTCACTTTTTGTTCCCCTATCAGCTCCATCACCGAGATCGGGATCTTCTCCCCTCGGGGGAGTCACGCCGCAGATACTGGTGTTGGTGGCAACCTCTTGGCCTGCGATCTTCTGCACTGCAGCGTGCGCCCCCCGTCCCCCCCGCCTTGCTCTGGCCCGCGGGCATGCGCGCTCTTGCGTGCAGGCTGCGCATGGCCGTGCCGTGTGTTCTTCGCCGCGGGAGACAATACGACACACATGCAGAGATGGTATCACCGCGGAGGCAGAGCTCGAATCACGCACTCGCAAGTCTGCACAGCCTGCCCCACGGTGGCCCAGACGGGAACACAGTTCAACATGCATGCCAAGAGGGCCTCGCCGACCCCCCCAGCCCGTGTCCCAAAACGCGCCCTCAAAACCCGCCCCCCTGTGCTCCAGCTTTGCGGAACGAGCCCTGATAATCCGGCCCACCCCCCCCGCCCTCGAAAGCGTAACCAAATAAACCGGCCCCGGGGGCCGACTATTATTAGGTCGGGCATGCCCCCCTACAGGCGGATTTTGGACGGAAAACCAAACATACCCCCAAAATGCACCAAGATTTGCAAAAAATGCTCAAAAAATCGTCCTCAGACTATTGTTTGATGTTGTTGAATCTTCTTCCTGCAGAGGGACAGGCCCGACTTAAGACGATCAAGGGATATGAATACACCCAGCGTTTGGCCGCCCGGGCCACCGCGGTGGCATTGGGGAGCTGCGCTGGGACCTCCAGGGAAAGCATGTCCCGCAGGGCGGCCAGCGACGTCCACTCATCATCATCAGCATCAGCATCCTCCTCCTCCTCCTCCTCCTCCTCCTCCTCCTCATCATCATCCTCATCCTCATCCTCATCCTCATCCTCATCCTCATCCTCATCCTCATCCTCATCCTCATCCTCATCCTCATCATCCTCATCATCATCATCATCATCATCATCATCATCATCCTCATCCTCATCCTCATCCTCATCATCATCAGCATCAGCATCAGCATCATCATCATCATCATCACCATCATCCTCCTCATCCTCATCATCCTCATCCTCATCATCATCATCATCCTCATCCTCATCATCATCATCATGATCCTCATCATCATCATCATCATCCTCACCCTCATCCTCATCCTCATCCTCATCGTCATCAGCATCATCAGCATCAGCATCATCCTCATCCTCATCCTCATCATCATCCTCATCATCATCAGCAGCAGCATCATCATCAGCATCAGCATCAGCATCACCATCATCAGCATCAGCATCATCATCAGCATCGCCATCATCATCATCAGCATCATCATCATCATCACCATCGTCATCAGCATCATCATCGTCATCACTAGCATCAGCATCATCATCAGCAGCATCACCATCATCATCATCATCATCATCATCATCATCATCATCATCATCATTATCAGCATCATCATCATCGTCATCATCACCATTATCATCACCACCACCACCACTTCCATCAGCATCATCATCATCAGCAGCATCATCAGCAGCAGCATCATCACAACCTCCATCATCATCATCAGAAGCAGCATCATCATCATCATCATCATCATCATCATCATTATCATCATCATTATGATCATCGTCATCGTCATCATCAGCAGCATCAGCATCATCATCGCCATCGCCATCATCATCTTAATCATCATCACTATCACCATCATCACCACCGCCGTCATCATCATCATATGCATCATCATCAGCATCATCAGCATCACCATCATCATCATCATCATCATCATCATCATCATCATCATCATCATCATCATCATCATCATCATCATCATCATCATCATTATCATCGTCATCACCACCATCATCACCATCGTCGTCATCGCCATCACCATCACCATCGTCATCACCACCACCATCATCAGCAGCATCGTCACTATAGTCGTACCCATCACCTCCATCATCCCCATCATCAACAACATCATGTTCACCACCATCAATATTGTCCGTGCCGTTGTTTGCCCGATCGACGATGGGGGGCCGGCTCCACGAGAAGGACGAGGGCCCAGTGGATCTTGCGGAGCGCGTTCACGGGGAGATCGGCCTGTTCGCGCGCGCCCCACGCGGGGGGAGGAGGTGAGGCAACGCCCAGGGCTGGCCGCGAAAGTGCGAGGGCAAACGCAATCGTTCAGGTCATACGGTCGATAACTTTTGCATGCCGTGTTGCGTCGGCGGCCCCGGAGACACGCTATGCCATGCGAACGGATAGCGTGTCGCTCCGCTCCGCGGGGCAGGAGGCTCGGAGAAAGGCTCGGGACGTTGGCGCTGGGGGGCCAGGAAGCGGACAGCGTATTGCACCGAAGCGTGGTAGGCCCGAAACCGGCGGCGCAACACGCCAAGCCATAATTCCCGACCGTAACGCTCTGTTATGTCCCTCAGCTCGCGCTGGAACGTGCACGATTGGCTCACCATGTCCCTACAGGTCTGTGGGCGTGGGTCGATGTTGGGCAAAACGTATCAAGCCTTTCAGGATGCAAGGGGGGAGACAAGGTGCAGGGACAGGGGTAAGAGGAGCAGGAGGAGGAGGATGAGGAGAAGGAGGAGGAGGCGGAGGCGGAGGCGGAGGCGCAGGTGGAGGCGGAGGATGAGGAGGAGAGGAGGAGGAGGAGGAGGAGGAGGAGGAGGAGGAGGAGGAGGAGGAGGAGGAGGAGGAGGAGGAGGAGGGGAGGGGGATGATGAGGGGCAGGAGCGAAAAGAGGGGAGCGACAGGGGGAGCGAGGAACGAGTGCGGCAACAGGGGCAGGAGCGAGAGGACGAGGGAGGAGCAGGAGGAGGAGGAGGAAGAGGAGGAGGAGGAAGAAGAAAGGAGGAGGACGAGGAGGAAGAAGAGGAGGAGGACGAAGAGGAAGAAAAGGAGGGGAAGGACGACGACTTGGACGAGGACGACGAGGAGGACGAGGAGGTACAACAAGGTAAAGGCGCTTAGGGGCAGAAGAACCAGGGGCAGAAAAACCACGCTCGCCGTGGAATGTGATAGAAGCAGGGCCCGACGGGTCTCTCTCACCCGCGGCCCGCCCGGGGAGCACCCCCTGCCCCCCTCTGGGTGCGGGAAGGGCCATGCGCAGAGGGCTCGTGCCCCAGACAGGCTCGACAGCGCGGGGCTCGTGCCCCTGGGGCTTTGCTGTGTTCCTGCTCGTGAACATTTGTCACGTGTGCGGAGCTACACGGTCAATGTCGCGCTCTCCTTCGGCTTTGCTGCGTTCCTGCTCGCAGCGCACACCGCCAGAGGCGGCGTAGAGCTTGAGAGATCCACCTACCAACAGGGGGGGGGGGCGGGCTGGGGCCGCGACTGGCCCCGAGCTGCCGACCCCAGAGAAGGGGAGGCACGCCAGCGGCACGCCCGAAGTTCGACGGGCCGGAGAAGCCCGCGCGCGGGGGCGGCGCGCGGTGCAGGGGCGAAGGCGCTGCCCGTTCCTCGCCCGCCAGCCACTTTACCACCCACCGCCCCTCAAGGCAGCCTACCCTCCCCCCCCACCCGCCCACCCACCATGCACGCACGCACGCACGCACACGCAAACGCACACACACACACACAAGCACACACAAACACACACACACACACGCACACACGCACGCACGCACGCACGCACGCACGCACGCACGCACGCACGCACGCACGCACGCACGCACGCACGCACACACACGCCACCACCACCCTCAACGGCCAAGGGGCAAGGAGGTGGGAAGGCTCCGCAGGCAGAGAGGCAATGAGGGAGGATAATACTATGGAGAGAGAACCAGGAGAAACAGGAAACGCCCAAAAGTTACCAGGGGGCGAAGGAGGAAAGGAGACAGGGACAGGCAGACAGGACCGACCGAGAGGGGAGCAGAGGCGCGCGCAAACCAGCAAAGAGATAAAACATGAGAGGGAGAAGCGAAGAACCGTTTTGGGGGGTATCTGGGAGAATGCAGAGCTCGTTTAGGTTCTAAGTTGAGACCTAAGAAGACCAAACTTGCAAACTATTGTTTGTGGGGTTTGGGCTCATCTCCTTTCAATGCCTGGAATTAGCTACCTGTCTGTCTGTCTGTCTGTCCGTCTGTCTGTATCTCTGTATGTCTCTCTTTGATATTGCCCCATGCAACAACAACAACACCACCACCACCACCAACAACAACAACAACGCAACAAGCAGAATTCTCACCACGGATCCCCACTTAAGCCACGCACCCAGGGACCATAAATGACCGTTCGACCCCCTCACTCTGATATAGTAGTCGGCCTTCCCACTTGTATGTCCCTCACTTCTGTCAATCAGTCCGTCGCTAGCTTTTGATCCAAACTGGCTGGTGGTGCCACCTGCCACTACAATGGTCGTCCTGCTTTCCGGCCTGTCACACTTATCTTCGATCAACTGAATCATCCTCGGCACAACCTCTTGGTATGTCCTCACATGTGTCGCTGCAAAGTACGTAGTAAAGGAACAATCGCATTACACTCTTAGACGAAATCCTGACTCCTGTGGGTCTTCTCTGAAGGTGGGGCGAATGTTGCTCGTAAGGATGCTCTTGGTATGTGGCTAGCGATAAGCACAGTTGTGCCACACACATTTTCGTCAGGAGTCGCCACGTTGTGGCTCCAAGCTGTCGCCCAAAGTAATGAGTAAGTTGTGTAGTCGTCGTCTCTTCTGCTGCTGCCATTTTTGTGTGTCACAGATTAGCACCACTTCCCACACGCTGAACTCGTGACAAGTATCCTGAAGTCGGTCATTCGCGCATGCAGTAAAAAGGGCTTGCATGTCAAATAAATCAAGACGCACAAGAGAAACAACAACATCTGCCTGGTTTGTTTTTCCTCCCCAGCCCCCCCTTTGCCGAGAGCGTGAGAAATGGCCGTGAGGTTGCTTGAGCGGACCAGTGTCGCTCTGGAGCGTGGTTGGTGATCTTTCGAACCTCCTCGCGGAAACCTAGTAAAAGAAGGAGGAGGTGGAGGACGAGAAGGAGGAGGACGAGGACGAGGAAGAGGAGGAGGAGGAGGAGGAGGGGCATGCACAGGGGTGAGAGTGGGAAGATGAGCAATTAAGAGAGAGAGCAAGACGAGGAGACGACGTGAGCCGTGACGAGCAGGGTGCTAGAGGGATGAGGACGAGGAGGAGGGACGGAGGGATAGACGACGAGGAAGGAAAGACGAACAGACGGAGGAGAAGGAAGAGGACAGGCAGGAAAGGAGGCCGAGCCGGGGGAGGACTGGCAGCAGCAGGAGGGCGCTCTCCGCGGGCAGCGGCGCGGCGATGCCTCGAACCCTTCCAGCCATCGGGGGCGCGCAAACATGGATTAGCGATCCATGGATCTGGCGCGCGGTCGCCAAATCCATGGATCGGGGGAGGTGCCCTCCCCGAGATGCGGCTGGGGCCGCCTCGTTCGGCGGCGGAAATCCGCGATTCCCCATTGAAACGGGACCCGTCGCCAATCCACGCCCCCTTGATCCATGTTTGCGATCGCCTGAAACAAGCCACACTCTGCCAATCCCCTCCCCCTCCTCTCCACTCCTGGTGGGCACATCGGCTCCTCCCTCCGTCCCGTCCTCCTCTTCCTCCTGCGCCAGCCGGCCCTCCGCCCCTCCCTCCTCCGCGGGCGATGGGAGGTCGATGCGTTCCCCCGGATGGGGCAGGGGAAGAGGAGCAGCAACAGCAAACTGTTCCTGTCGACGTAGCGTGGCCTCCCCCGAGTGGCCGACGGAATGAGGCGGCAGCATTTTGATAGCGGTGGCGTTCATCCCATTGTCCAACACCCTCCGCATCCTGAAGGCAGGATTCGCGGGCAACCGCGGGCGGTTTGGCAAACAAGGCACTGGCCCTCGAGGCCGGGCCGTGCAACACAAACTTCCACAGAAATGTCGCACAGTCCTGATCCGGGTGCGCGGGTGAGGCGGGCGCGAGAGCTTCAAGCCAGATGATTCCGGCGAAGCAGCGAGCAGCAGCAGGACAGCAGCGCCCAGAAATCTGCCGAGGTCGCTCGAGCAGAGGACAACGAGCCAGAGACACCACGACAACGGTGTCGATGAGGGCAGGGGGAGGGTGGAAGCCTTCTCCTTATGAAGCCGTCCCCCGTCCCCATACCCCCCTCTGCGCGTGGCCGACCTGAACCCATCCCCCCCGCCGTTGCCCCTGGTGCCCCACCCCCGACTGGGGCCCAGGCCGGCTCGGACCCGTCGTTGCGGGTGAAGCAGACCACGTCCACGTCGCTGCCGGGCGTCTCCACCTCTCCGAGGACACAGCCCTCTCGGCCGAGGCCGTGCGAGGCTCGAGCGTCGCCGCCGCCGCCGTCTGCGCCGTCGCTGCCGTCGTCGCCGACGCCGTCGTCGTCGAGAACGGCGACGAGGACGAGGAGGAAGATGCGCGGAGGAGGGGTAGAAGAATCGAGGATCCAAAACCGAGGAGGATCGAAGTTTCTGGGCGGCCTTGGCCGTTATTGAACCCCCAGGGCTCTCCAGGAAACGCCTCCTCCTCCTCCTCCTCCTCCTCCTCCTCCTCCTCCTCCTCCTCCTCCTCCTCCTCCTCCTCCTCCTTTCCTTTTCCTTATAAACAACTTCTCCCTGTCGTATCCCCAGGCCAATTTTTAGGGCGGGCCGGGCGTTTCGCCTGAAACTTCCTCACCACGAATGACCCTGAAGCTTGAAGATCGACAACTGTTTCCCAAATGGAGGGCGGATGGTTTTCAGTATTTGGCTCTCGCTTTAAAGCCGCGCACATTCGTTTACAACATCGCAACAATTTCACGGATTGAGGGCGAGTGGTTTTCAACATGTGGCTCTCGCCTTAGCGCCGCGCACATTCGCATTAATAATTGCAAGAGCTTCGCGGATTGCTGGCGGTCTGCTTTCAAAATGTGAATCTCGCCTTGGCGCCGCGCCTTTCGTTGTACAAGTTTGCAAGGGAAGATTTTTACGGATCGAGGGCGGGTGGTTTTCAAAATGTGGCCCCCGCCTCAGCGTCGCGCACATTTGTTTTTTTGTTATTTGGAAGAAATGCAAGAGTTTCACGGATTGAGGGCGGGTCGTTTTCAAAATGTGGCTCTCGCCTCCGAGCCGCGCACATTTGTTTCAAACCGGTGCAAGAGTTTCACGGATTGGGGGCGCCTCCTTTTTCAACATGTGGTGACATGATGTTTGGGAAAGACTCATGGCTATAAGGGCGCAACAGTTACGTTGATTTGCGGTGCTGAAGTCCCAGGAATGGCGTTCTAGCACGATTCAGGATCGTCAAAACGCAACAATCAGGTTCATCCGTGGCGTTGACATCGTGAATTCTTCTTTAGATCGCAGAACTTGGATGGTGACTGGCGGAATATGAAACGTAATGGCCAGACCAAGAAACCAACGGCCAATCGGGGGCCAACAAGCTGCGAAGCGCACGTGCTCCTGTTCCCCGCAACAGTTCCAGTGCGAAGACTTCTGCGAGTACAGCTCTAAACGCTGCGGCTCCATTGACATCCTGAGACTGGTGTTTGGGCACGCTTCGGGGTCTTGAGACGGTTGTCTTCCAGCGAGGCAGTCCCCGCAGCGGAAGTGAACCGCTGCAGAGCCCTGTGAAGAGGGAGCTTGCAGGGAGGCTTGTGCCAACATCGCTGGTGACTCTTGGGTTTGCACTGGCCTGCCCTCCTCCTCCTCCTCCTCCTCCTCCTCCTCCTCCTCCTCCTCCTCCTCCTCCTCCTCCCTCCTCCCTCCTCCTCCTCCCTCCCTCCTCCCCTCCCTCCTCCTCCTCGTCCCTCCTCCCTCCTCCCTCCTCCTCCTCCCTCGTCCCTCCTCCTCCCTCCTCCTCCTTTTCCTCCTCCTCCTCCTTCTCCTCCTCATCCTTCGTCCCTCCTCCCTCTTCCCATCTGCCTACCCCTGGGGCGTGCGAGGAGACAGGAGGCTCTCAGTCACCGCACTGGTCTGCTGCGTCCGTCCCCTTCGGTCTTGCCGCGTGTAGGTCCCCACCTGCTGTGGGTGTTGGGCAAATCCGAAGGAATGCCTCCTCCCCTCCTCCTGCCTCTCCCTCCTCCCTCCTCCCTCCTCGCTCCTCGCTCCTCCCTCCTCCTCCCCCTCCTCCTCCTCGTCCTGCTGCTCCTCCTCTTTTTCGTAGTTTCGTAACAGTACTGTTGTTAGTCGTATGGTTATTCGTAGTATCCTTTCCATTCGTATCATTCTATGAAACTAGCCAATCGCATAATTAATAACATTATTCATGGTAGTATGACCCGTATGACTAGAATTAGTAGTAGCGTTGCGGGTATCAGTGTTATTACAACATATTGTCATCATGAATGCTGCAATTGCTAATGACTTGTGTACTAAATAATGTTGCTAGTGTTCTTATGACTCGTCGTACCGTTATTATTTTGAGTGTTGGTGTTAGTATTACTTGTTGTATTATTCCTCCTCGTCCTCCTCCTCCCCCATCCTTCTCCTCCTCCTCACCCCTCCTCCTCTTGCTCCCTTCCTTCCCTTACCCCTCCTCTTGCCGCCCTCCTCCTGCACTGACGGGATGGACGCAGCAGACGCCCCCACCAGCGGGACGCTGGGACCCCGATGCAGCAGCCCCCGCAGGAGGCTGCAGAAGGAGACCGCGACGCCGAGCAGCGCCACAGCCGCGGAGAGCAGCAGGGGAGCAACTCCATGGGCCTGAAAGAGGCCCAGGGAGACACAAACAAATACACAGGATGCCCCCTATCTTTCCATATGTTTTGAATGTTTCGTCTTCTCCCCCACTTCCCATATGTTCCCATATTTTCTAGGGAGTCGACAATTGATTTCATATCGGGCATGTCCCCTATAGGCCGATTTTGGACGAAAAATTGAAAATACCCCAAAACTACCCAAAACTGGCCAAATACTCGGTGTCCCTCAGTTCTGGGTCCCCGGACTACTGGTACCCCCCAGACTACAGGTACCCCTTCCGTACACCCCTCCGGACTACAGGTACCCCCCCCGGACTACAGGTACCCCCCCCCCCGGACTACAGGTACCCCCGTTAGGCGCTACAAATCTTCTCCGCGCGCCGAAACCCCGCGCGTGGAGCCACGCGTGCTTCGACGAATAATATGCGCGCCCCCCCGGACTACAGGTACCCCCGCGCGGCCCCACCCCCGGACTACAGGTACCCCCCCCGGACTACAGGTACCCCTTCCCCGGACTACAGGTACCCCCCCCCGGACTACAGGTACCCCTTCCCCGGACTACAGGTACCCACCCCGGACTACAGGTACCCCCAGAACTATTCAGGGACACAGAATATAATCGAAAAATCGCGCCCCGACCATTTTTCGACTATTCCTGAACATTCCTCCTGGAGGGGGACAGGCCCGACTTAACTGTTCATTGTGTCTGTGTGCTTCTTTTTCCCTCCGGAGTAGGGGCACGCCCATCGCCCACCGCCCACCGCCGCCGGCGCAAAGGGCAGACAAGTGGGCAGGCCGAGCCCGAGCCCGAGCCCGAGCCCGAGCGGCGGGGGGGGGGGCAGCGCACCCTGCGCCGGCCGCTGCCGGCGGTGGGCGGGCCGCGGGGAGCCCACGGCGGGGGCCCTCTGGTAGAGGGAAGCAATTCGTGAACACCCCCCCTGCCCCCCAAACTCAGAGTTGGCACGCGCGGGGGAGACTGCGGTCGAGATGCAGCTCATCAGACCCACCGCCAACTTTGAACATTGGGGGGAGGGGGGGGCGTTCACAGATGAGTGTGGCATGAGTGTTCGCTATTTTTTCCGAGGCCTGGACGGGAGCCCTGGCGGGGTCCGCGAAGGACGGGAGGGGCAACGATGACAGTCAACCAGTATCATAAGGATGCGCGATAAGGATGCAAAGGCCATGGACGCTCATTTCGAAGCTTTTCGCTCGGGGCGCGGCCAGCGGAAGCGGCCGGGGAAGGACCGAGGAGTCAGGGATGCAAAGGTACCCTTGGGAAGGTTGCCCATCCTTGCTATATGCGGGTTGACTGTAGGTCGGGCACGTCCCCCGACAGGCAAACATTGGAGGAAACATGAGAAGTACTCGATACATATTCAATCATGGCCAACATTTGTTTTGGCCATTTTGGAGCATTCCTCCTGTAGAGTTATGTCGGGCGTGTCCCCCTACAGGGGGATTTTCGACGAACAAATAAAAATACACCAAAGATGCTCCAAAAAGGTATTAAAAAACACTCAAAAAATAGTCCTTGGACTATTTTTGGAGTATGTTTTGACTATCCTTGGGGTATTTATTATTTTTCGTCGAAAATCCCCCTGTAGGGGGACAGGCCCGACATAACTGTGGAGGGACAGGCCCGACCGAAGGCAACGAGCCGCTCGCAGAGCACATGGCCCGAGCGCCCCCGGAAGAGGGGCCCCGGCCGCTCCCGCGAGGGCCGCCCGGGCGAGCGCCTGCACGAGAGCCCCCGGGGCCGAGCAAATCGCAGAGACAGCCAGAGCGCCAGGCGAGGAGGGCAGGCGAGCGTCTTCTTGTTCGGCGCTTCGGCACTGGGCTTAAGTCGGGCGTGTCCCCCTACAGGGGGATTTTCGATGAAAAATAAAATACTCAAAAATACTCCCAAATGGTCAAAAATATTCAAAACATAGTCCTCGGACTATTTTTTGACTATTTTTGAATATCCCCCCTGTAGAGGGACAGGCCCGACTTAACACTGGGCGGCCAGAGGGGGTGAGGGGGGGGGTCCGGCTCCAGACCTCTGCTCAGTGCGACTGTCTGCGGCGGTGCGGCCTCTGGGGGGGACTCCGCCTGCTTGAAGCAGGCGCCAACAAAACAGCCAAGATCTACTCCATGGGGGGGGGGGGGGGGGCCGCGCCGATCGGCAAAACAATGAATCAATAACTGATCACCAGGAGAGATCATGTCGATGTGATTTGTTTGTATGGCATTCCGATTTGAATGGTTTGGAGATCGTCTGCACTTGGCTTTGCACGCAGACGTACACATCCCGATCGACAAACACGCGACACCCGCGGGACAATCCGCGGGACAACCGCGGGACAACCAACTAGACAATCCATGGCAAAACAGCAAAGAGCATGCCCATCCCACCCGCCCCCCTCCCCAGAGAGAGGGAGGGGCAAATGGTGGGAGTAGGATAGCTATATGTTTTTGGTGAGACATCAGAATCGGAAACCGAAGCTCTCTGGCCAATCCCCATGAGGTGGGAGGGGGCCAAGTGGGGGTGGAGGAGCGCTTTCTCCCCCCAACACGGGACGCACACACACGTGACAACCCGCTCGACAACCCACTGGACAAAC